CACAATGTTTTATGGTCCACATCTGGAACCCAAGCTCAGCTGAGACTTAGAAATGCTAATTCTGTAACCAAGGTACAAGGCTTTAAACTAACAGATAATTAGTCTTAATATTGTAAGTTTAAACAGAATTACAGTTTATGAATGTCTTGTTCTTAATAAAGACATTAACTGGGTGTTTGGTTTTCAGCCTAATAATAACAATACCATATTCACATAGAACTTTAAAGTACAAAGTACCTTCCTTTAACATCACGTTTCACATATGTACAATATGCCACCTGGTACATCTCTTTCTCCATACTTTGTTGAGGTTTTGCAATCCCGGTTTATTCTCAACTTTCCCTATTACTCTACTTTTGAGGGAATTCAGCCTGTATTTAAGTTAAGAGGTCATCTTGAAGGAAATCTTTGGGGGTGTGTGTGTGTGTGTGTGTGTGTGTGTGTGTGTGTGTGTGTGTGTGTTTTAACCTCCCATGGATGATTAGAATAGAAATTGTGCCCAATCCTGAAATACAAAGTAGAATGTTTTCTTAGAATGTACCAGTCTCTTTTTTCTTTTTCTTTTCTTATTACTAAAACTTAAATATACAATAAGAAAAGAAAAAAACCATAAACTTAAATATTGAAACTGAAATACAAAATAAGAAAAAAAATCATGTCATGTGCACATGAGAGAAGATTCAGAATATATAGCAATAAACTTCCATTCAAGAAAGCCTATATAATAAATACTAGAAGCCTATTTTTATGTCATTTACATTTCCCAGCATATATGCCTCCCTACCAGAGAGCCATCCCTCATAACAAAGAATGAAAAAGTATTTTAAAAAAAATAGTTCAGCAAAACTAACCAGCACAGAAAATATCTGATGTTATACGGAGTGTTTCTTACTCATATTCCCCTACATCTTCAAAGATATGTTGCTTTTCATCTTTTCTTTGGGGCTAACCTTTGGCCATTACCATTTTGTGTCCTGAACCCCTTAGACACTGTGGTGAAGCCTATGGGCCCGTTGCTTATGTTCATAATTAAGGAAAAAAACTAAATTTCAGTTATTGGTTAGTGAAAATAAAGAAGTGATTTTTCCCTCCAGAAACCCCTTAAAAATCTGTCCCTGGTCCCTAGGTTAAGTGATTTTTTCCTCCACAAACCCCTTAGGTTAAGAACCCCTGCATTAGAGAGTTGCATTTTCTCTAACGTGTAGTCACTACACCTACAGTATAGGTCCAGAGACGTGATACCTGCGGTGTTCATGGAGGACAGAGAAGGTGAGGCAGTTGTGTACCGTGCTGCCTTCTACTGGTTATTGCCTCCTACAGTAAAATGATGCTGGAAACGTTTGCCTTCCTCCAATGCATAGAAGGGAATGGGCAGTGTTTCTCTTGCAGACAGTATCTGAAGTCTACATATCTTCTTTTTTTTTAACTTAATATTTTTTTCCAACTAGATGTAATGATAGTTTTCAGCATTCACCGTTGTAAGATTTTGAGCTCCAAATATTTCTTCCTCCCTTCCTTCCCCAAGACAATAAGCAATCTGATACAGGTTATACATGTATAATCATGTTAAACATATTTCTACATTAGTTATGTTGTGAGAGAAGACTCTGAACAGAAGGGGAAAACCATAAGAAAGAAAAAAACCAAAAGAAAGTGAAAGTAGCATGCTTTGATCTGCATTCAGTCTCCATAGTTCTTTCTCTGGACATGGTCAGCATTTTCCGTTACCACTCTGAGTCTACATTTCTAACTAGACTAAAGAGCTCTTTTGGCAAACCTCGAAGCATCAAGTGGTATGAGTGGTTCTTGGGTCTTGAAAAGCTTTTCAGGTGCTTGTTAGTGGAAATCTGTGGTATATAAAATATGAGCTATTTCCAAGGAAATCAGAGGTGTTCTAGAGATTTACAGTACAAGGTTACCTTCCCATCCCCCAACCCCTTTCCCCAGAAATTACCTTGGTGCTTAGGTGCTAAACTTGGAGATAAACCTGGGTTCAGACCCTTATATTGGTGCCTTCTTCAGAACTGCTTTTATGTACTTAAAATGATTTTTTAAAAGACATTTCTTTTAATGTAAATAGTTATTTTTTTCAATTACACGTAAAGACAATTTTCAGATTTATTTTTTATAAGATTTTGAGTTCCAAATTTTTCTCCCTCCCCGCCACTATGGAAAGCAATCTGATATAGGTTATACATATGCAATCATGTAAAACATATTTCCACATTAGTCATGTGGAAGAAGAAACAGAACAAAAGGAAAAAAAAAACATGAAAAAACAAAGAAAGTGAAAATAGTATGTGGATGGCATTTTTCATCATGAGTCTTTTGGAACTGGGTTGGCTCATTGTATTGCTGAGAAGAGCCAGGTCCGTTATAGTTGATCATTGCACTATGTTGTTGTTACTACTGTATACAGTGTTCTCCTGGTTCTGCTCACTTCACTCAGCATCAGTTCATGTAATTCCAGGTTTTTCTGAAATCTGCCCGCTCATCATTTCTTATAGCACAATAGTATTCATTACATCTTGTTCAGCCATTTCCCAATGGATGGGCATCCCCGCAATTTCCAGTTCTTTGCCACCACAAAAAGAGCTGCTATAAATATGTTTGTACATGTAAGTCCTTTCCCCTTTTTTATGATCCTGTAGAGACATCTGTGGCATAGGATGGAGAGCTGTCTTAGAGACCAGAAAGCCCCAGGTTCAAGTTCTGCCTCTGAAGAGTGCTAAGTGTGACCCTAAGCAAGTCACTTACTTTCTCAGGACATGAGGCAGCCCAGACTATACGTTTCAAGAAAGGTACCATCCCACATTGGTAATCTGAGTTTCCTCTCTGGGAGCTCTCTATATCAATGAAATCTCAGGACCAGTCTCTATTCCTGTTCTTTTAGTTCAGTTCTTTTATTTTATGGTGTTTGTGAATGTAAAGGTCTTATCTCTCCTAGGAGATTGTAGGCTTATCAAGAGTGGGGATCCTTTCTGTTAATCTTCGTGTATCTACCACCATCTAACACTGTGCTTCGCGCCTAAGTGCGCAGATGGTCAGTAGACAGTTTATTGGAGCTGTAGCTCCCTAAGTAGATCTCTAAGCCCATTACTGCTATCTGGTTTGCCAGTATTCGTAGCATAGAGGGAAACACAGCTAGCATTGGCATCCTCTTTCCCAGAATAGCCGCCTCACAGTTAGCATCTCTCCTCTGACCATCCAAGAATTTGCCTCCAAGACTTTGGGAGAAAGGAAAAGTGGCTCTCATAAAAATGGAACCCCTGATGCAAAAGAGGAAAAACATTGTTCCAAAGCAGCAACTTTTGTTGCCTTTGAACTCTAGTATAAAAATACTGATTTTTTAAATAAATATAGTATTTCTACCTCCCACCAGGTGTGTGCCATTGTATGGAAGTGTGGGGTGGCAATTCTGGGAATAAACCAGTTAGGGTTCTAAGGAATGGGGGTAGGTGACAGCCTCTCAGAAATTCCTTTGGCATTTAGTGAAGGAAGTCACAGAAGTTAAAAGCCCGGTTCACTGGCAGCTAGCTTCTCTCTTTGGATGAGAGATCTAGGAGCTGGAGGAAACCTTAAAGATCATTTTAGTCCAACTTCCACATTTTACCAAGGAGGAAACTGAGTCCCATGGAGATTGATTGACTTGCCTAAGGTCACATAGATTAGTAAAAGAGCCAGAATTTGAACTCAGGCCTTCTGACTCCAAAATTGTGGCTTTTGTTTTGTGGATAGATGATACTTTACTAGATAATTCAGCATAAATGTGTTTGAATTACTATAGCATAACTATAGTATAAGAGGTTAAGAATCCAGAGTTGAAAGTATATACTATTATATATTTAGTTTGAACTCAGTATACTGCTTTTACAGTATGAGTTAATTATATTATAGCAGCCTTAATGGCAAAGAGCTAGAAACTGAAGGGGTATCTATTAGTTAGGAAATGGCTGAACAAGTTATGATATACAAATAGGATATTGTATCATAAGAAATGATGAAAGGGATGGTCTCAGAGAAATCCGGGAGGACTAATGTGAACCAATATAGTGAAGTGAGCAGAACCAAGAAAACAATTTATACAATAATCCCAACATTTTAAAGAAAAATAACTTTGAAAGACGAGGAACTCTGATCGGTTACATAAACAACCATGGTTCTAGAGTAATGGTGCTGAAGCAGCCTATCCATCTCCGGGCAGAGATGAAGGTGAAGAATGAATCCATTTTTGGACATGGTTAGTGTGGGAATTTGCTTTGCCTGATACTTCAATTTTTATGAGTGTTTTTTCTTATTTTGCATTTTTGTTCTCTTATTTTGTTTCCTCCTTGGGGGAGGAAATGAGAGGGAAGGTAGAAATAGGACTTCCCCTTTACCTCCAGAAAGAGAACAGAAGGAATCACAGACAAGGTTCAAAATTTACATGTTGAATTTATATATTTAAAAAGAAAAGAATGTTCTTTATAATAGAGATTCCTAGTTTCATTATATTTCAGTGCATATGGAAATGCTCATTTTACTTGCTGTTTGTTAAATTTGGAATAAACATTCGAAATTTAAAAAGTTAGTTACTGGTATATGATTTTGTTGAAATATTATATTGCATTCTAAGAAATGATGAAAGGGAAAGATACAGAGAAACCTGGGAGGACTTGTATGAACTGATGCAGAGTGGAGTGAGCACAACTAGGAAAACTACACCATGACTAAACCTTGTAGAGGAAGACAACTTTGAAAGATGTCAGAACTTTGATCAACCTATTAACCAACTAGGACTCCTCTCAGGTTGACGGTGAAAGAGGTGGGACTCCTCTTGGCAGAAAGTTCATGTCCCGACCTAGCTCTGTACACTTGTGTCCTTTTACTGTGAGAAAATCACTTTCTACATCTGTAAATAATACTTGTATTAATGATCTCCTGGGGCTGTGGCAAAGAAAATGAACTATTAACCTTGAAAGTGTTATATAAATTCCTTTTTCTGTTCTCTTCCTCCATAGGCATGATAGTAAATCAGTTACCTGGTAGAAAAGGCTCCTGGAATTGGTTTCACTGAATTTCTGATCTTTTACATGGATATCTTGAAACAAAAACATTCTGACTAGGTGAGAACCTACTGCTTTTCTTTTGTTTTTATTTCTTTACTAAAGACTTTAACTAAATGAATAGCCACATATTGGGGTGGGGTGGGGGGTCAGTGAAAACAAAAGGTTTTTTGTTTTGTTTTTGTTTTTGTTTTGTTTTTACTGCACTGATTAGGTACCTGCTAGAGGTTGGAGGAAAAAACCCAATAATTTTCTGGTGCTAGAAAATTTTTGATTCTTTTTCACCAAGGCTGGCTCCTGAATTGGAGTTCCTCTGTCTCCTCCTTGCCAGTATCTGTGCTCAGAAGTGATAGTTAACACTGCCAAGCCACACTGCTGAATCCTTATGTACCTTTCGGATAGAGGTTTTGTCCAAATCCCAAAGACAAGTCAAAGGTTCGAGAATTAGATTCCCAAATTTCTTTCGGTAGACCTGTGTTTAATACAGGCTTTCAGAAAAACAAAGAATAGAATAAAATGTGGAATATTTTCTTGTTTCCAGTATCATCAGGCAATCACGAGGTCATAAGACTTAGGTGAAAACCAGGTTTATTACAAGAGAAATCAACATGCATGTGGAACCCAAAGAATTCACAGTCCGTGTAGAAGTTTGTGTATCTATGACAGCAGAATAAAAAAAGGAGGAGGAAACAAAACTCCATCTTAAAGGGTGGTGGTATGGGATGGGGAAAAGTATAGTAAAGGTAGAAAAAGGACAAAATCCCTCCCAAATGGCAGGAGCGAGGTGATGGAAAAAGCTGCAGTCTTTTCCTTTAGGAACTGCTAGACAGACTGTGAAGATAGGATGGTCTGCCTATCTACGGGATCCCAGCTGTACAAGGAAATTTCCCAGCCTGCATGGCCTGACTTAGCCTATTTTGACTCCCAAGGACACACAGGGAGTCCAGCTTGGGGTACAAACAACAAATTATGTTGCCTGGCAGGGGTAGGGGTCCACTTTGTCCTTGGCACATTCAGGGTGTGATACAGTTCTAGAGACGTAGTTTAATCATTTAATTTAATCATTTTATTAATAAAGCCAGCACGTTTATTAATAAAAGGATGGTCATCTGGCTGTCCCTCTTAGACCAAAGACCTTTCATGGTGGTGGGCTCATAGTTTATACTCTCTTCCAACAGTAGGTGTTCCTAAGTGGTGACAATCAACTCTGATTGGTCAACAAATAATAAGAAAAGTGATATTACAGTGAGAGGCTGGGCTGTATTACCGTAAGGGTCTTGGGGATAACTTAATCACCCAAATCTTGGTCAAAAAAATATAAATTTCTTTGTCGGCTATCTGACAAAAGGGAGAGTCAACACTTCCCAGATCTGAGCGAAAACAGAATGAGCAGGAATGTACCCATTAGCCTAAACTTAGAATTTCTTTTACTGTCTGATTAGGTATTGGCTTGGGTAAATTTTTAAGAGAGATTTCCCATACTGTTTGATTTCTGAATGAGGAAGTAGAAAAAGGGGAAAAACCTTGGTTCTAATACAATAATTAGTTATTAAATAAAAGAGAGAAATACTAATTTCTCACAAGGGCCTCCTGCATGCTCTGGGTGCAGTGTTTCTGGAAAATAGGCAACTCAAAAAGACAAGTTCAGAGGACCCATTAACAGCCCTTAACACCATCGAGTGAGGCAGAGTGGTTTATTTTGATTTTTTTTAAAAAGTGGGCAGAGAAAGAACAATTAAGATTTAGACATACTATAATTATAACACCCATTTACTGAGCATTCGCCTTTCAAGGAGTTTAACCCAGTTTTCTGGCTAAAACTCAGTTTGAGCGTATGTATTGCTGAAGCATACTTATTAGAAGAGGAGGTGTATTTGATTTGTAAGGGAATTTCTGGTCGTTTGGCGTGGAGTATTAAACTAAATTTTTTATAAAAGATTGAGTATGAAAAACTTGGCACAGAAATAAAGATGAAATTGTAAAATTTTAGTTAAAAATTTAGTAGAAAATGTGTATAACAATATGAACTAAATATTCTGAAATATTGGTATAAAAGCTTATTATAAAATATAGACTAAATTTCCTGCAAGAAATTTGGTATGAAAACATAGACTAATTTTTTCTGTTAGAAATTCAGCATATAAAAAATATAGACAAACTTTTTTGTAAAAAATTAGTATAAAAATGTAGGCTTCGTCTTTTCTAAACAATTTAGTTTAAACTACAGACTAAAGTTTTGTTATAAATGTAGTATAAAATATGGACTAAATTTTTTGTAAAAAATTTGACATGAAATATTTTCTTGTAAATTTTTCCTGTAAATTGTCTTATAAAAATTAGTATAAAAATGTAGACTGTTTTTATAAACAATTTAGTGTAAACATTTGGTATAAAATATAGACAATTTTTATAAAAATTTAATATAAAAATATGACTACATTTTATATAATAATTTAGTATAAAGATACAGAGTAATCTAAAAATTTAGTATAAAATATAGACTTAAATTTTCTGTAAAAAATTTATTACAAAAAAAAGCTTGAATATATAAATACCAGATAGAAACCCTGTTGTCTCAAATGCCTAACTTTGAGAAGGTTCCTTCTATATGAAAGGGAAGAAATGGTTTCTTTGAGGACAGAATGATAGTAGCTACCATGACTTTAAGGTTTACAACAATATTACATTTTGATTCTTTTTTTTTCTCCCCTTGATGTAAAGGGCCTGGAGTAATGATTGAGGTGTGACGAGTCAGATGAAAAAAATGGAAGAAGGTGGCTCTTACATTGACACCCTCAGAAGTGTTGCCCCTGTGGCCCATGGCCGCGGAGTACGATACTCGGAGGCCTGGGAGTATTTTCACCTGCCCTTGGCCCACTCTGGCCTTCCTGCCAGTCAGTATGCCACCTGTAGGTTGTGTGGAAAGCAGGTCAGCCGGGGCCCAGGGTCCAACGTTGGAACCACCGCTCTGTGGAAGCATCTGAAGAGTATGCATAAGCAGGAACTGGAAAAGAGCGGGCACCGACAGGCTGGGCCTCGCCCAGAAGCAGTGCTTCCTCTTCCACCCTCCCCGCCACCAGGCGTAGAAGGAGACTGGGGCCGCCTGATGGAGCAGATGGGAGCACTGGCTTTACGGGCAAGCCAACGGGAGAGGGAACTGGAGAAGAGGGAGAGAGCAGTGGAGAGGAGAGAGAGAGTCCTAGAATTAAGGAAGAGGGCCATTGAAGAGGAGGAGAAGGATTTATCAGAGAAGAGGCAGGAGCTTCAGGCTGAGAAGGAGGGGCTGCAAGCCCGGCTCCTGGAAGTATGTCAAAGGGAAAATGCTTTGGCCCTGGCCACTGCCCCTCTGTCCACCCTGATCAAAGAGGAGCAAGAAGATCGTGGTGAGGGCTACTTAATAACCAAAGTCCTTTTCTAGACTGTTGACCTTAAATCATCCTGAGGTAAAGCAGAACCCCCATGCTTTCTCCCTGCTGCTTAGATGGTGGTAGGAGCTGGACATCTTTGAGTTTCAATACCTATGACTTTTCCTGATGTTGATAATCGTGAGTTTATGCTTATTGGGGACACACAGAATGTCAGTCTATAGCTCAGTATAGCCATCTCCTCACCGTGACCCTACCCTTCAGCCCTCTCCACTCCTAGGGCCCAGGCCTCCATTACACTTCACAGCAATGTCCTCACCAGGGGTACTACCTTCCCCTTTCCGCCCACCCTTCCCCTTTTAGGTATTGTCTTCCCCCTGAACTCAGAACACCAGAGTCATATACAAGGCAGGTTCAATCACCTAGAACCCTGAGACGCTGGAAGTCACTGTGCCTAATTATAGATTCTCTTCTCAAATTATGTGCCCATCTACAGATGATCAGATCAGTCCTGAAAAACAACGGCCCAGATAAAAGTTGTATGAGCTTTGCTTCTAGATTAGGACAAAGCCGAGGAGATGCGTTTAGCTGGGGTCTCCTCAGTCTGTGGACTCTTATCCTCCTTCATGACCTCATTTGGAGTTTTCTTGGCAAGGATACTGGAGTTATTTGTCATGTCCTTCTCCAACTCATTTTACAGATAAAGAAACTGAGGCAAACAGGGTTAAGTGACTTGCCCAGGGTCATACAGCTAGGAAGCATCTGAGGCTAGATTTGAACTCAGGAAGATAAAGGCAGGGTGGTCCATGAGGTCACAAAGAGTCAACGTTACTGAATAACAATAAATGACCAACTACGTGTTAAACACTGGGATTACAAAGAGAAAACACCCTGCCTTCAGAGAACATACATTCTACCAGGAAGAAATGAGTTCTTATTCCATAGCTAACCTGTGTCTTTGGTCCCATTCCCTCCCTCATTTTTCAAGAATATATACAATAAATATTTTTTTCTTTCTAACATTTCGATCTTTTCTTCTCACTCCTTCCCTTCCATGTACAAATGCATTCAATTTGACTTTATACCAAAGAAAATTCTCAACTCTGATAATTGTTCCAGGCAGTAATATACCCCTTTCTTCTGTCCTTTCACTGCCAAACTTCTTGAAAGAATATTCTGTATTTTTTTGATGCCTCTACTTCCTCTATTCTAGTATCCTTTGAAAACTAGTGTCTGTGCCTTCTGTAATGTCTCCATTATATGTCCCCTCTTTTCTATTATGACTATTGCTACTGGGGGCCTCATCTTTTTTTCCCCCTGCTTGCCTAGACTGTTGCTTCGCAAAAGGTCTCTCGGCCTCCAAGCCTCTACTCTAAGTCATCTGACACATTGCTCTCAGAGAAATGGGTCAAATGCATGGGTCGTGTCATTTCACTGCCCTAATATTTTAGGGGTTCTTCATTACCTCTTAGAAAAGTCCAAAATTGGTGTGCCTGGCCTTGGTGACCCTCTGAAATCTGATCCCAGAATTTTCCAGCCTTATTTCCTGCTACCTCCAACAATGTAAACTTGAAGGGAGGGATTGGTTTTTTTGTATCACTAGGACCTAGCATGATGCCTGTTGCGTAGGAGGTACTAAGTAAGTATGGAACGAATGGCTGAAGACTACTTTGCTCTATGTAGCTTATGATTCAGTGAAACTGGACTGTTTACTATTCATAAAAGAACCACTTGGCAGCTTCCCTGGCAATGAGCTTACTAGCTGTGATATTAAGTAAGTCCCTTCCCTCTGTGGACTTCAGTTTCTTACTCTGTAAAATCAGGAGGTTGAACTAATCAGGGGTTCTTAAACCTTCATTTGGTATCATGGACCCCTTTGGCAGTCTGGTGAAGACTATAGACCACTTCTCAAGATACTGCTTTTAAATACATGGAGTTACAAAGCAAACCAATTATATTGAAATACAGTTACCAAAATTGTCAGGGGGGAAAGTTTATGGAGCACAAATCAAGAACCCCTGGCTTAGATGATCTCTGAGGCTTCCTTCCACCTTTATATCTTATGATCCTATGACTAGGCTGAGGACCATCCCAGCTAAATTCTGAGAAGTTCTTTTCCAGACTAGCTTGTGATTTGTTTGGTTATAGCAACACATGAGAATTGAATACTATGGGGTATGGGGGGGGTGCCCACCCACACTGATGAAATCAGAGACTTTTTAAGTACTGAAGATGTAATAGGACTGAAATTGTTTAGGGGAGATTTTAGTTAGATATAAACCTGACAGTTTTTCCAAAATTGCTTCCATATGTCAATAATGAATTATAAATAAATCAGTAGTAAAGTTTAAAAACTATTATAAATAAATCCAAGAAAATGTAACAAATTGTAAACATTTTTTGCCTGTCCATTTTACTAGTCTTTCCCACTGATGAAGGAATGTTGACATTTATTTGAAGCCCATACAATCTACCTTTCCAGTCTTATTACACATTACTGCCCTCCCAGTACTTTACAGCCTAACATCCTGGTTGTTTCCCCCACATGCACGTTGCTTCTGTTTTCTTGCCTTCACACAAGCTATCCCTCAGGCTTGGAATGCATTCTGTCCTCATCTCTGCGTTACAGAGTCTCTAGTTTTCTTCTGAGTTCAGTTTAAGAGCCACTGCCTAAATGAAGCTGTCTCTTATTCCCCTCTCGCATGGTGGCTGTGTTTCCCCTTTGAAATTATCTTGTATTATTTTGGATTGGGGAAGGAGATGGAGCATCCCTAGATTCAGTGTACCTGGGTTCTAGATGACTGTGGAAGCTTTGGTGGGGGGGGCTTGCTTCTAGACATTGTGACTCATTGCTGAGGACTTGGCTTTGAAATATCAAGGAAACCCCTTTTTGGCTTGTATTCAGAAGAGCTGATGACTCAGGATGCATGAAAGGGAGCAGCCTACCCCTTCATCTCTTCATCTCTACCTATAGATTGCATTGAGACTTGCCTGTTGTCAGTACACGGCCACTAAAGAGCACATCAGGCTAGGCTAGCCTGAGGCTGTGTCTGGTTGCTTTCTTAGTGTTTGTTTCTGATCTTAGACAAATACCTATCCCAGGTGGATATGTCCAGGTTTGGAGGCAACATTGTGAAACTGAGAGGTCCAGAGGCCTTCGGTGCAATCAGGTTAGATCCATTGACTGGTGGAAAGGGAAGCTTCTTCATCAGAGAGGACAGCCATGCAAAAGAGAGTTTGCCTGAGTCTGACAGTTTTACCAGCAGAAATACTGGAAGTTGTATATACAGTGAAGAGCTGAGGTGAAATGTAAAGTGCCTTTATTAGCACAACTACAGACTGCTGTTCTGATGAGGTTTACATTATTGCCTTCTCAGCAAGTAGGAATAGTAGTTATAAGTTGTTACAGAATGCTGTTTTTTAAGTTTGGTTTTGTACATATGCACTGTAAGTCTTTTATGTTTAACATGCTTCGTTTGTATATATGGAGTAAACTAACTCATCCCTAATTTGTATTAAGTACCTTTCTTAGAACTTAGATGTGAGCCATAATCTCATTTACTCTACAGAAAATCATCTGCCAGGGTACTGGGGTGGTAGTCTTAATGAGCGCATCTTATTAGAGAGCAGGCTCCCTAGGACTGAACCCTGGCCATATTGTGTGCCTGTGTGTGAAAGTACAGGATATGGACTGGGCACATTACTCTAGTCCATTTACCCTCTCAAGGTAGATGCATATATTTTGTATATACATAGATGTGTACATGTTTCCTTCTATAGAACACAAGCTCGTTGAGAACAAAGATGCTTCATTTTTGGTTTTGTTTATTTAGAAGGCAGGAAATTTACAAAAGACTATATGAAGGCCTACATATAGATGAGGAGTTCATGTATCATCCTCTTGTTCCACAATGTATATGGAAATGCTATTTTAGAAAAAGGAAAGAAAGAAAGGAAGGCCCTTGAAGCAACTTTTGATTAAAATGTAGAGAAGAGAATAAAATGAAGGCCAGAAAGAAGCTGTAACACAGGAGCTTCTGGGCTCTGACCTCTAGCAGGTTCACTCTGGATCTGGACAGACAGGAAGACAGCAGCAGAGACATATGGTTAGGAGTTAATTTACTTTGTTCTTCTCAATTACTCTTCTGGCAGGGGCCAATGAGAATGAGAGTAGGAGCATCAGGTCCTACAGAATGCCCCTAAGCCTTGACAGTGGCAGGTTGAAGCAAAGCGCAGCTTTCAGCTTTCACGTTCTACATTCTGTGCTCACTGACCAGTGCCTACTTGATTTGTAGAGAAACAGACAAAAACGGTATTTTGTCAGCAATAGACTCATAAATTTAGCAATTAACTTTAGCGATATTGTGGTGACAGCACAGAGCAGGTGCAGTGGGCTGTTCACAACTTAAGATCAAATGTTTAGTTAAGTCATGGTTATATAATGAGGTACAAGCACAGTAAAATTGTTTACAAGCCATGATCCTGGGAACTAGTATCTAAAAAACCCCCCCAAAATCCCCAAATCCACCTTATGTACAGAAGAATAGACAAAAAGGACAGCTTTGAAAGCTAAGGTTGAGATTACGCTTTAAAAAGAAAAGCCAGCTGTACGTGATAGAGATCTGTAATTTCATGGACAATCCTTCCCCACTCCTACCCCACCAACCCCACCAACCCCACCATTCTATGTATGTGGAAATATTTTATTTGTTCATTTCGGAATGAAAATAAATTTTGAGAAAGAAATGTATGGTGTTTGCTGTGAAACAAAATGAATGAAAAAATAAAAAAGCAAATATACTGTACAGAAAGCCAGGCTGGGTGAAGGTCCTTGCTCCTTGTTTCTTGCTCTCCTAGAGGGTGCTGTCTGACCTCTGCCATTTACAGGAATTATCAATACCTGTTCAAGTCAGATGGTGACTGGGGTTTACCTGAGTCTGGCCAGATGAGCTCCCTTCTCTCTAACTACCCAGAGATGTAATGGCTCACTGCTGCTGCTGTTTGTCCTTCATTCTTGAAGAGGACCATGATGTCAGGGAGGTGATGCCATGGTGTGTAAATGAATTGGATGTAAGTGAGGGGGGCAAAGTCACCAGCCTCACTTTCTCCTCCAGAGCCAACTGGGTTCATCCAGTGGCAAGACATAGATCAGAATGACTGGAGATGGCCCTGGATGCACTGGGAGATCTTGGACTTTTTAAGCTAAGGTCTTTCCCAGGCCTTTGCCCAAATGAATGTAAATTTTGATCACTGAAACTTCAAAATGTATCTTGGGGTTTCCAAGCTAGATTTTGTTTTGGGTAGGCAGTGGGGTTAAGTGACTTGTCCAGGGTCACACAGCTACTAGTATGTGTTATGTGTCTGAGGTTGGATTTGAAACACTTCACCACCTAGCTGCCCCCCCTTGATTTCTTTCTTAAGGACCATGCCTCAAACCCAAATCACTCTGGCTTTCATTGATTGGCTAATAGTAGGTTCCAGCCCAAGCCCCACAGGGTCAGTGTTTCAACCCCGATGGGTCAGGGTAAATGTAAATAGCATTTCTTTTTTCTGTTTTGGTCAGAAACCCTGAGGGTATTCCCCTCCTAGATTGACTTTAGAGTGTGTGTGTGTGTGTGTTTTAACTAGGTAAAAGAAGCCATTCTCTGTCTCATTTCTTTTCTTTTTCTTTTT